ATTTTAAGAATCCCCCCCCCTTCCTTATTTATGACACGTCAGCCCCAGATTTCAAAATTCCCCCCTAAGCAGCTTTCAAATAAAGTGAGAAATAAAAAGAAGAGAAAACATATATTTTTTTTTCTATTTCAGCGTTGAGAAAAAGGCCAATTCTGGAATATTTGTGCAATTTTTTTTTTTTAATTATTATTTGGTCGTCCTGGACTTATAACCGTTTTTCAACCTTACGACGGTTGTCAGTGTCTGGTTTGTGGGGGGGAGAAATATGTGGTTTCTCTTTTGTGTCCTTTTTGGCTAACAAAATCAATGCGGAAGACGGATCCGCTTAACGACCGTGTTATTCACTGAACGAATTTCAGGGCTTCACTTAACAACAGGGGCAAGAAGTGTAACAAGGGGGGGGGGAAATTGCACTTAACAAATGTCCCACTTAACAACAGAAATCTCCATTTCATTTTCATTTAATGGATTTATAGGCCCGCCCAGTCGTGGAGGACAATCTTGTGCTTGTTGAAGTGGTCGTAAGTTGAGGATAGGTAGCCTGTATGGCCACTATTGACCCCAATTGGGAAGCCAATCCGTTAAAGTGAAGCCTGCTCGGTTTTCCAAGCTTTCTTTGCTGGGGGTTGTTAAGCGAATCGTGGCGGTTGTTAAGCGAAGCCAGCGGGGACGGTCGCAAATGATGACCCCCCGTCGTTAAAATACACACCCAGCACCCACATTTTGATCCTACTGACTGTAAGGGTCATAAGTGCGAGGAACGGTCGTAAGAAACTTGTGCCCCCTCGGGACGCTTGCGAAAAGGTTTGGTTGTCAATCAATGCCGGATTATCAATACCGGCCTCCAATGAGAATCAACTGCCCTGCTGAGAGATGGCTAGGGAAAGGAGGCCACCCAGTGATATTCAGGGAGCACAGCTGCGTCGGCTCTACAGGATCTTCACACCAGCCCTCCAAGGTAGGCCAGGGCGAGGAACAGATCCAGCAAACCACCTGGAAATCCCATACACCTAGGAGGACCGCCATCGAGGCCAACATTTCTGTTGTTAAGTGCGACGTTGAGTTGAGTTTTGTCCCGCTTTGCGACTTCTCCATTGTTGAGTGAATCGGCACCATTGATAAGTCATTAACCCGGTCGTTAAAGTGAATCCGGCATCACCCCATCGACTTGGGCTTCTCGGAAGGTCGCAAAGGTGTGGGGGGGGGAAATCACGCGACTCCGGAACATCTTCAACCGTCGTAAATGTGAGCCCCTTGCCAAGCGTGTTTTGAGTTCGGATCACGCGACCGCAGGGATGTTGCGGTTTTACATACGGAAAACCGGTCCCTTTTTTTTTCCAGTGCCGTCGTAACTTTGTGGACGGTCACTAGATGAATCGTCGTAAGTTGAGGACTGCCTGCGTAATTGCAGTGGAAAGGACATGGCGAAGAGGGCCGGTTGCAAGATTGCATGTGAGTCAGCAGCTACGAAAGAAAGGCTACGAAGATTCAAGTGTTCAAAGCAGGAAGCATTCAGTTGGCCCAACAATTGCGTCTTCCGGAGATCTCCTGGTGGTTTCCCATCCCAGAGCTCAGCAATTAGCCAGCATTTTTTTTTAGGTGAATAAGAGTTCAGGTACAAAACGGTGGGCGACTCAGAGCCCCCCTTGTTCATGGAACGGCTGCAAACAGAGGGGTGGGCCCTGTTTTATCGGGGTGCCTCCAGCCAGCAAAAGGGGACTGGACTAGATGACCTCTGAGTGTGAAGGTGCGTCCGATCACCCGCTTCCCATCAATGTGGGGATTTGCTTCCCTTTAAAAGGTGGGGTTTTTTTTTAAGGGGGGAGGTTTAATCCCAGCCTTTTTAGGACAATATTTCTCACTTGGAGCCCTTTAAGAGAGGCGGACTTCAACTCCCAGAATTCCCCAGCCAGCAAAGACCCACCCACCCATCGACAGCAAAGCTGGCTGGGGGAATTCTGGGAGTTGAAGTCCGCCTCTCTTAAAAGGGCTCAGAGTTGGGGGGAAAATGGCTTTCACGTGGTGTTAAATCATCAAAGATGCACAATTAACCCCGTTCACCCCACCCACCCCAAAAATAATATTAGGGTCCCCCACCCCTGCAATGGAAGCATCTAGACCACCCCCTACCCTGCATTTCCAGGTATTGATGGGAAGGGGCTGCAACTAACTTCCTCGGAAGTCCCCCCCCCCCTGCATCTTGCTTTCCCACCTCCCCACTTTCATTGAGCCAGACTCGGTGTTCTGCTGCCCCCCTCCTGTCCTATCTCGCAAGAGTGTTGTTGGGGAAGGAAGGAAGGAGGAAAAGAAGGAAGGATAGAAGGAGAAAATGAAGGGGAGGAAAAGAAGGAAGGGAGGAGGGAAAGAAGGAAGGGATGGAAGAAAAGGAAGGAAGCAGGAAAAGGAAGGGAGGAGGGAAGAAAGGGAAAAAAGGAAGGAGGGAAGGAGAAGAGGAAGAAGGGGAGGAAAAGAAGGAAGGAAGCAGGAAAAGGAAGGGAAGAGGGAAAGAAGGAAGGATGGAAGGAGAAAAAGGAAGGAGGGAAAGAAGGAAAGATGGAAGGAGAAAAAGGAAGGAGGGAAAGAAGGAAGGATGGAAGGAGAAAAAGGAAGGAGGAAAAGAAGGAAGGAAGCAGGGAAAGGAAGGGAGGAGGGAAGGAAGGAAGGATGGAAGGAGAAAAGGAAGGGGAGGAAAAGGAAGAATGGAAGGAGGAAAAGAAGGAAAGAAGCAGGAAAAGGAAGGGAGGAGTGAAGGAAGGAGGAAAAGAAGGAAGAATGGAAGGAGAAAAAAGAGGAAAAGAAGGAAGGAAGCAGGAAAAGGGACGGAAGGAAGGAGGGAAAGAAGGAAGGATGGAAGGAGAAAAAGGAAGGAGGGAAAGAAGGAAGGGATGGAAGAAAACGAAGGAAGGGGGAAAAGAAGGAAGGATGGGAGGAGAAAAAGGAAGGAGGAAAAGAAGGAAGGATGGAAGGAGAAAAAGGAAGGAGGAAAAGAAGGAAGGAAGCAGGAAAAGGAAGGGAGGAGGGAAGGAAGGAAGGATGGAAGGAGAAAAGGAAGGGGAGGAAAAGGAAGAATGGAAGGAGGAAAAGAAGGAAAGAAGCAGGAAAAGGAAGGGAGGAGTGAAGGAAGGAGGAAAAGAAGGAAGAATGGAAGGAGAAAAAAGAGGAAAAGAAGGAAGGAAGCAGGAAAAGGGACGGAAGGAAGGAGGGAAAGAAGGAAGGATGGAAGGAGAAAAAGGAAGGAGGGAAAGAAGGAAGGGATGGAAGAAAAGGAAGGAAGGGGGAAAAGAAGGAAGGATGGGAGGAGAAAAACGGAGGAAAAGAAGGAAGGAAGGAGAAAAGGAAGAGGGAAAGAAGGAAGGGATCAGGAGGAAAAGAAAGAAGGAGAAAAGGAAGGATGGAAGGAGGTAAAGAAGGAA